TGCATGCAGATATATATATTTTTATATAGAAATTGCAGAAGAATCGTGCATCGCATTCGTTTCGATTGTACGTTGTTGGTAGGTTGACTGATCCAGCATTTGAACGATTACGTGTTCCTAGACACATACATATATATATATATATATATATACCAATGATATCGTATTACTGACTAAAAAGGGTGGAAAAGTAAAGTACTATCCTTCGATTATCGGAAAAACCTAACACACACCACCCCCACCCCCCCTGAGTGACATAATTTCAATGTACACTATCATCTACTATCGAAATTTTCGTTTAGTATTTAAAACCCAATCTCAAATAATATATCTAGCCCTTTTTTTTATTTTTAAATGATCTATATATACAATTAGATAATTTCAAATTACAACTAGAATAGTTGTTTTTTTTTTATGCACAAGATATGTCACATTTTTAGACATTTATTTCTATTCTATTTTTGTTTTTTAATATGATCAATTTTGAGAGATAACAAAAATTCATGGTGATTGGAGTAATGAGAATTGTAATTTATAATTTATCTTTCTTGTTTCTTTTTTATTTTTCTTTCTCTTTTTTATTTTTTCACACGTTCACATTCAAGGGAATTAACTCGAAACAATATTTGTTCTTCACTTCTAATTCTTCTAATTCTTCTACTGCATCTACTTCTATATTTTCTTTTTATCAAACATTATTCTCGTAAACAGTAATCTTCTTAAAGATTACTAACAATTAGAAAATTGCATCGATTATTCAAACGAAATTTCGAATTTGCAAAAGAAATATGAAAATCATTTTTCAAACCACGTCATATGTAATAAATAATACACACATAGGACATAGATATATGTATATATATATCTTTTTATAAACTAAAAATAATATCAATAGATTATTTTTCTCGTTACTTAATACTCGATTATCTTTCTTTTATTTTATCTCTCTCATAACGATGAGATAATATTAAAAAAGTTCGTAAAATAATTTTGAACGAAGCTTTTGGTAAAAAGCAAATTCTAATGGGATTTTTAAATCGTACCTCCTCCTCCTCCTCCTCCTCCTCCTCCTTTTTACATTTCGATTCATCGAGGTAGATCGATTTACGACGATTCGTAGAATTCTTTTTCGTTACCTGCTCCCCTTCAGCCCTCCAGCCCTTCACCCCTTCCTCCTCTTATTCCACAACCATCCCCTTAAATTCTACTACTACTACTACTACTACCCTCCCCCCTTCTCTTTCTTTTTTCCCGTCTTACCACCCATTCCTTTTTTCATTTTCTTTTCATTTATTTTCCTTGACTTTCCTTGTAAAATGAACTTTCCAGAGTTAAACTCGGTTGTTGTTGCTACTAAACCGTATTTTAAAATTCCGCGAAATGTAGAAAAATATAATTTTTTTTGCAGGAAAATAACTCACTCGTTTCGTAATAAATCTAAATAAAAAAAAAATTCGTCATAGTGTTAAAGAAATTCAAAAGAAATTTACAAATCTTACTTCTTACTTTTCGTAATTGTTGTTGTTTGTTTGATTTGATTTTATTTAACTTTTTCTTAGATATATATTATATATTATCTTTATCTTGTTTTCTCATTCATTTGATTTAACCCTTTTGATATCCTCGAAAGCGAGTAATCGATTTTTCGAGTTGTTCTCGAAAAAGGGGAAAGTTTATCTTTTAATGAAAACATCACGGGAGAAAACAAATTTCGTAGATGAAAGCTTGTTTCGTTTCGAAGGTATTAACAGTTTCTAGCTCTTTCGTATTTCGTTTATCTCGAATCAAAGTTTCTATCTGAAAGATATAATTGAGAAAGAGAATGGAAACTTTACTGGTTGGTTTATTCATTTGACATAATTACAATTAAAATT